TTACACATCACATTCGTTCGGTTGCCGAGGTCAATGATAAGATCATGGTCGACGTTAAGAACCGCTCCACTTTTACAATGTGCAGTAGCTGTCTGCGAAATGCACTGCCCAAACCGTAAGCTAAAACACTGAATGATCATCAAATCACCGCCGCTCGGACGGCTCGCGACAGACACGACTTCCCAGCCTCCGCTCACGAAGCATACAACGCGTGATCAGTAGTCACTCAGTTGAAGTCACTGCTTCAACATGCACTTCGGTCAGTCATTTGACTAAGTTCATGCTTAGTCCTCCTTTTCCAGCACAGCACCGCCGCGGCCCACTGAACGTAAGTCACCGATGGCCGGCCACGTGGACGGTATGTAATTCCTAGGTGGCCGCGTATACAGCCTTGCACAGCCCCATGCCCCCGGGGCACGCACTTGATGACCTAATCCCGGCAGCGCCATGGTCTTTCGCCTGCGAAACCTGTGGTTAGGTCACAGATTCATGCATGCATAATCCACGCGACCTCACGGCGCCAGTGAAGCACGTGCAATACGACACAGTGCAAAACACCGCGCCACCTCTGGCGCACTGCGACGTTTGCTCGATCACCTGCTCGACTATTTGCTGTCCGTTGGCTCCGCCACGGATAAAGATTATCGGCAGGCATCGAGGTTTTCGCAGGCATTTCTTTTCATGAAAAGCCATAAGCGTAACGTTAAACCTTAGAAAACTTGATGAAAGTGTGCACCTTCCCCCTGCACCGGAGCATATATACACCTGTCTGACATCTGGGAGCCGCTCACTGATCTCTTTTTACCACCGTTGTCGATGTTAATGAGATTACGAGCATTCGTCTCTTATGTGGTGGGACGGCCTAACAACGTACGCTGTCACTGTCTGAACCGTCTCATTATTGGAAACCCTTCTAAGGTTCATTGATTGTGTCATCACTTATATAAAATCTAGCGGTCTATATGTTCTCTTTTGCTTTCTCTTATATCGGTGAATTACTTCGGCGCCGGTCCACTGAAACAAGCGACGGTCGGGTTTTGATGGACCACGCCACAATTCACACCTTTCAGACTTCTTGCCCACTCTTCTCAAGGGCAGTCTGCACTTGCTTTCGCTGTCTGACGGAGAAAATATCTGACTTAGCTGGGTTCTCTTTTCCGCGCGCAAAGAGCGAGTTTACAGTCCGGTTTTTTTCTTCCGGATCAAAGGGTATCGTATCACTTTGGTGGTCCGGAGCCCGGCACAGTCTCAGCCTGTGCCTCACCGTCGTGCGTGAGGACGGGCCAGGCCTACTACGGATCGGGGGCGGGGCTCGACCTGCGCGCCTCGTCTGCAGCCAGCCGGCATACGAGCGCGCGCCGCTCGGCCTCCCGCCGCAGGTAGTCCCGGTGCGACAACATTACATCGTCCAGCTCCTGCTCGCTGATCTGGAACACCTCCAGGTCGGCCCGCGGCGCCGGCGCCAACCGCGGTGCCGGGGTGGGCGGCACACGCGGCTCTGGCCGACTCGGACCGTGGTCTTCAGCAGCCGTCCTCGAGGCTGTTTCTGCTGAGGAATGCGCCGCGTGGTCGACCGCGTGGGCTTCCGATCCGTTCAGCACCGATCGGGGCTGCTCCGATTTTACAGATGGCAGTACTGCCAACACTATAGGCGGCGCCACAGGCGCGGCTGCCTTTGGGTGCGGTACATGATTCGAGCCGGCCTTCCCATGTCCGTTGGTGCCTGAGACCTGACCAGTCTCCTCTGCATTCTCCTCATCTGAGGACGGTTCGGGGGAGATGCGAAGCGAGTCTCGCGGCACGCGGCCGGGTGCCGTTACTAGCTCGCCGTAGCGGCCGTGGCCGCCGTCCTCGCCGTCCTGCCGACCGACGCGGCTGAGGTCGAGCTGCGGCCCCTCGCAGGCGGCCGCCGAGAGACGCCGCGGTTGGCCGCTCGGCTCGGGAGAGTCTGGCCGCGCCAGCTCGAGCGAGACGGCGCGGCCCAGCGGCGGTGACTCGGGCCGGCCCTGCCTGCTCAGGTCGCCGGTCGAGGAGCTCAGTCGCTCACCGTCGCCGTCGCTGGCCGGATGCCGCGGCGGCGGCGGCGGCGGAGGCCGTGGCGGCCGCGTCACGGCCCTTCCGCTGTCCGGCGAGCCAGAGGACGTGCCAGACGGCGAGCTGCCTCGTCTCCCGCCTTCGGTTGCCATGTCGTGGGATTGGGTGGGGCTGGCTGAGCGCGGGCTAGTCTCTATGGCGCTGACGATGACTGGATTTGTCTTGCTCGATTTTTTCTCGCCGACCTCGACGATACCGGTCACTTCACCAGTGATTCTGGGCATTTTGTCCACCTGTGGTTCGGAAGATCTGTGGGCAGAGCTCTTCTCCACTGTTTCACCAATAACGTCCTCCTCCACATCATCTCGTTTTCGTTTCACGAGCTGGGCAGGCGTCATGGCCAACACTTCCTTGAACGCTTCCAGCTTGTCAATCTTTGGTCGCGACACTGTAGTTTTCTCCAGTTCGACGACATCGGGCCGCACCACCTTTCTGACTTCCTCCTCATCCACCGGCCCAGCCTCGCCCCCGCTCGCATCCCTGGGAGACGCGTCGAGCGCGTGCTCCTCCATCTGGCCGGGTGCTGTGTTCTCGTTCCCCGCGGCCAGCGCTGCGTCCAGACCGGCGTGGATGCGGGGCGCCTGCCGACCGGTCTGCCGGCCTCTCCTGTCCTGCGCTGCTCCCGCCGCCAGCCGCATCTCGTCGGGCATGTCCTGCCACATGTTCTCTGGTCGCTGCGCTCCGGAACTGGCGCTACTGGAGCTGGAACTGGAGCTCCTCTGGCGAGTCTTGTCCACACTCGTGGCGTTCCTGCCCGGATCAAGACCTACTGCTGGGGTTTTATTATCCAAATCCCCGGCTCTTCCTTCCACATCTGAGCTGGAACTAGAGCTGTTGCTGCCTTTCCTGGAACGCGTTTCGCGTTGGCTCAGTTCCATGTCTTGCTCCACTTCTCCCGAGGGATGATCGTGTGGAAACTCCTGATCGCGCTGCTCCGTCAGTGAGGTGGGAAGCTTTTCAGCAGCAAACCCATCTTCAGTTATCTCCGTAGAACTCAAACTAATGTCGCCGTCTCCAGCAATCTTCAGCAAGCCCTGCGTGTCACCGACCACCTCATTCGCCGAGCCTTTCTCCGTCTCATTCGGCAAGCCAGTTTCCCGGTCGAGCGAGGTCTGGTCCACCCTGTTCTGCCTCTTAAAGCTAGAGGTGCCCATGCGGACGCGCCTGTGGTCGGTCTCGTCGCCGAGGCTGCGCGGCGTCGTCGGCTCGCCCGTTTCGCCGTCCATGTCCCGGCTGCACGGCATGTCGTTGGCCACCTTGGTGAGGCACGCATCCACGTTGAAGCCCTCGTGATCCCTGGCTGCCAGCCGCAGGGATGGCACGCCCAGCGCCACGCTGCGGCGGCTGTCACGCGTCTCACCGGCTGTGGGGCTCACCGGAGTCGCGGCACCCGCTGGACCCACGGGGCTCTCCGCACCAGCCCCACCGGGACGTTTTTGGGTCGGCGGGTCGGTCGGCAGTGGCAGCACTCTGATCCCGATCTTGTGGACCTTGGACGGAGCGGATGCACTCTCCATCTGCAAACGCAGACGCGTGTGATGGAAAGCAGCAACGAAACATTGTAGAACGGTGCGGAAACCGGGGGAGGCGGCGCTGAGGCTGGGTCCCTCCAGTTTTTGACAAGTTAGCGTCGGCTCTATGGATTTTGACTGGGGAGAAATGGCTTAAATGATTATCTCCTCCCCTAGCGTGAGAGGACATCCGTTGCCCCATCAGTCATCGGCGGTCAGTGTCGACCAACCAAACGTCGGCGCATGTGCTTACGCATGACCGTCATTTCTCGGACGCTTAAAAAACATGGGAACCCGACCCTTGCAGGGAAGAGATTGCGGCTGACCTGGGCAGGGTGGCCTCGCATTCACGCACATGCCTATGCACGCCAGGCGGAATAACCTCCTGTCCAGAGGCTCTTTTCGATTGTCAATTTAAAAAATAGCTGATCGGATGCAGATATCAGTGACCTGTTCGCCACTGGCTTTGGAAGATCCAGGCGCTTATTTCTTACGTCTCCTTTCGAGTCGGCCTCGAAGCGTTCGGGTACATCAATTGCCATCTCTCGGAAGCCCGCCGCAGTTGAGCCTACACGCATGGCCGCTGGATGGCTGCGCTGGACGTGGAGAGTTGTCTCGGTGCGGCTCTCCGATGGCGTCGCCTTGGAGGATTTCTCGCCAGTGGGCGACTGCCTAGAAGCGGTGCTCGACTCTGTCTGCAGGGAGCTGCCCTTGGCGGTGGGGCGACCCGATTTCGCGGGCTGCGGACGCTTGGCCAGCGGAAGCGACGCCCCACTGATCTGAAATGGGACCATCCGCATGTCACAAGGTCAACCCAGCGGCATGTCATATTGGCACTGCCGTTATTTGCGCTCCCTGAGCACGTTTTTTGGGGGGGATAAATCGTGATTGGAGGGTGAAACAAGATGGCCGCTTGCTTAATAAATAAGCGACACGACACAACACGCAAACCACTAAGTAAATCCATAGTAGTCATAAATATATTGTTCAATACCTTGCAAACAGGCACATGGTGACAACGATAAACGCATCTTTAGAAGCCACTGCACATTTCCATTTCAGTGTATGTAGACAAAAAGGTGACGAAATTAAACATTTTTGCCGGACTTCGCTCAAGGCTGTGCAACTGATCATAACAGATCGTTCGCAAACAGCGCCAATCATGTTTCGACACTAATCGTGCCTGAACCCGACGTCAAAAACCGAAGCTACAGCACTTTGATACTGAACACCGCCTCAGGTGCGCCTGGCCACGCGTCAGCCAGCCGAGCGCGCCCTACCTTGGTCAGGTCTTCGGAGCTCTGGCTGCGGAAGGCTGGGTGTCTGAGCCTGGCGGCGGTGGTGGCCGGGGCTGAGGTGGTGAATCGACGCCGGCCCGGCTCGCGCTGCAGGTGAAGCTGCACGTCGTACGGCGAGGCGTAGCCGAGGATGGACACGGCGTCCTCTAGCACCATCTGGCCGAACGACACCGTCACGCCCGTCACGCGGTCACCTGGCGGCCAGAGACACGGATCACAGCTGGAGCTGAGGCTGAGAACGACAGAGTTACGCCCGTCACGCGGTCACCTGGCGGCCAGAGACGCCGGTCAGAGCTGGAGCTGGGGCTGAGAATGACACCTGCCACGCCTGTCACGCGGTCACCTGGCGGCCAGAGATGCCGCTCAGAGCTGGAGCGGAGGCTGGGAACGACACTGTCACGCCCGTCACGCGGTCACCTGGAGGCCAGAAACGCCGATCAGAGTTCAAGCTGGGGCTGAAAACGACTCCGTGACACTTGACAGTGCGTGGTTTGGCAAGGGATGTGTTGGTGTTCTTATGCATTTGTCCCGCACGCGTATTCACGAAGGTATCTCATTGAATGCATGTGGTATCGGTGGGAATGACTCTGCTGGAGTATCAGTGGAAACATGTTTAAGTCACAAAGGCATAATGCTGATATGCAAAATGACATTTTCGCAAGTTTTCCGTTGGACTAGGGAAAAGGCGCTCATCATTTGCGGCCATCCCATCCATTTGCGCCACAACGCGTATGCATGCCATGCCGGTGTTTGCTTAATTCGGTTTGACGAGGGTCTGGAACTATCATCGACTAAGGACGTTGTCTTTTACCCTCGCGTCGCTTGTGGGAGCGGAATTGTTGTACAAACACTGCGGCCTGCAGGGAGTCAAACGCCGTTCAGGCACTAAATCCCACCGTGCCGCACATTGTGGTTTTCGGGATAGCGATCATCTGCGTTGTGAGCTGTGAACCTTGTGGCTTTACCGCCGGTGCTGTGGGCGGCGTGACGCCGCTGTGCGATAGGCGAGAACCACGCCGGCACGACCCGCGCCTGCTATCAGAAATGGGCTGGGTGGTGGCGTAAGCAGCGTCTGCAGCGCGGCGCGGGCCGGCGGAGCAGGGTGGCGCCCCCAGCGCAGGCCGTAGCGTCGCTGCACCGCGCAGCGTCGCGTGCGCTAATAATTTGGCGGCAACCTAGCCTGAAGTATAACCTGTTCGTGACGTTGGGTCATGTTGCAAAAGCATTTCCGCTTCTCGCCAAGTTGCGCAAACACAAATTAAGACACAGGTTATCGCCAAAGGAAGCCACCACAGCTACCCGCCGCTCTTCAGTTGTATACGGCGTGCGCAGACTGCTGCTGCTACACGTCATGACTTTCCATCTGTACAAGGCGGATGCCAACCTCTGCCGCTGCACGTCATTACTTTCCATCTGTACACGGCGGATACCAACCTCTGCTGCTGCACGTCATGGCTTTCCATCTGTACACGGCGGATGCCAACCTCTGCTGCTGCACGTCATGGCTTTCCATCTGTACACGGCGGATACCAACCTCTGCTGCTGCACGTCATTAGCTTTCCATCTGTACACGGCGGATGCCAACCTCTGCTGCTGCACGTCATTACTTTCCATCTGTACACGGCGGATACCAACATCTGCTGCTGCACGTCATGGCTTTCCATCTGTACACGGCGGATGCCAACCTCTGCTGCTGCACGTCATTACTTTCCATCTGTGGGCGGTGGATGCCGACCGCTGCTGCTGTGCGCCATGGGTCTCCATCTGTACACGGCGGATGCCAACCGCTGCTGCTGCACGTCATGGCTTTCCATCTGTACACGGCGGACGCCAACTGCTGCTGCTACACGTCATGGCTGCCGACGGCTGGACCCGACCCATCGCCAGCTGTTCTGGCACCGTAGCTACAGAATGAAGAACACCCAGCAAGAAATGCCACAGGGACGCAGCCAACAGCGGCCCACACCCCAACAAAACGTTCATGAATCCGTTTTCAAATGCTTGCCTCAACATGGGCGGTGACGCAAACCTTCTGAAGTCAACTCTTTATGACCGTGGCTGTTCTTATAACTGTTTTGTGCAATAGTTAATTACGCATGTAGAAGTTTCCCCGGAAGACCGACAATGACGACGAAAGTTAAAATTATTTAAGACGCGCTCGCGTGGGGGAAATTCGACCCCAACGGTTTTCCAAAATGACAGCAGTAGGCAATCGAAAACCCGATCTTTTAGTAAAACGAAATTAGATGCACCTTGCAGGGTCGCTGACCTGTGGGAGGTCAGAAGGAGGTCATGGCCGTCAGCGAAGACGGTGCTACGGGAGTCGCTGAATGCCATACGACAGCGAGGTGCTTCGAAGTCATGTAACTTTGAGATGGCTTTAACTAAACTTTTTAGATAAGGATTACGACTGATTCTATTGACCTTGTATCCGGTATGGGGACCATACCAAGGTATTATATCAAGGTATATAAGACATCTCTGGATGATAGCGACGTCAAAAGAGTTCTGATTTCGAGGTTATGAAGATCAGAGGCGGTCGCTGGCCTAAACACACCCCGATCGATATTTTGCTTTCAGTAGCATGTTGCCTAGTATAGCAATTGGTACCGATTGTAAATTCAAATATTTTCTTTAAAAATCGGTACATGGTCGGTCTGACCTAAGGATATGCCCTTGCCCTGATATGAGCGCCAGTGCTAGTTTGCTTATGAGAGGTAGGTACACATGTTCCAGACGGTTGCGTAAGGAAATCTGAGGTCACTTTGGACACCGATGTTAAGTTTGCCCATGTGTGACCTTGTTTGACCAAAAGGTCACAATTTGCCCACCCGAGAATTTAACACAAGGGAGTGCATAGAAACCCCACCTTCCCTGCAAATTTGGTGTCCTTGACTTCCTTAGTCTTGAGATCCTCAGCATAGACGTCCTCAGCCAGAGGCCAAATTGCCCCCCCCCCCCCCACACACACACGAGGGTGGCGCATTTAACGGCCACCCGGACGTGTGTTTAGACAAGGTCCAAGATCGTCTGCACCTTTCCTAAAGCATGACTGGACCAAACCTATTTCGAGGCAAATGTAGAAACGCAATGGCATATCAGATCTTACATCAGTGAAGCACCAAAGCTCATGTATTTCCACAAAACCGTACAACACATCTGACTTAGGAGAAATTGGATAAAAATACGATGCGATTAAATAAATATTATATATATATATATATATATAGAAAGAGGTAGAGGGAGAGAGAGAGAGAGAGAGAGAGAGAGAGAGAGAGAGAGAGAGAGAGAGAGAGAGAGAGAGAGAGAGAGAGAGAGAGAGAGAGAGAGAGAGAGAGAAAGAGAGAGAGAGAGAGGAGAGAGAGAGAGAGAGAGAGAGAGAGAGAGAGAGAGAGAGAGAGAGAGAGAGAGAGAGAGAGAGAGAGAGAGAGAGAGAGAGAGAGAGAGAGAGAGAGAGAGTGGGGGGGGGGGGATCAGAGGGTGTGCTGGGAAAGCGCGCTGCTGTCTCTGAGAGTTAGTGATTTAGAAAGGGTTTAGCAATATTGCACGCCTAAAGTGAATAGCCCAAAATTGGTTCCTAACTCTTCCACTGCTGCAGCCGAATTTCACACGCTTGGCATGTGTAACAACATGCGTAACGATGCAGTTCAAAGTCGCTTTGTTGCCAAGTATATGAATTCAATGACTGTCTTTACGTTAAACTATTAGAAGCTTTCAGCAGTCAATGACAGGCACAGTTCATGTCCATTGCGCACAGACACTGGACCATGGCACAGAGTCCGGCGCCAAATATCAGCTTTCCCTTTTCAGCACATTAATTTCGGAGAAACATCGGCCACCTTTCAGCAGCTCTGTGCGTAAAAAATCAATCCATTTGGAATTAATAAAGCGGTATTGTCTCGAACATTACGCGTTTACATGAGCTGAAGGAGCGCAAAACATAGCCCCACGCCAAACTTTTGCTAGAGAGGCGTGGAGTGAAATGGAAATATTTGTCAAATGCCATAAGCCTTTGTCCCCAGAACGATTAGAGACGTAAACCGAACTACAGCGCTTGAGTCAAAAAAGGATAAAATGCACGTTGTCCCACATGACACTAGGCAAAATCTCTACATCTTCCCTGGTTGGTCCCTTCTCTACTTGGGAATTATCACGCCCGGAGCCTTCCTTAGCTGCAGCATGGACGAAATCCGGGTGAAGTCGATGTTTACACTGCGTTGTTCTCCCTGGCTAGGTCTCTCGACTGCAGCATTACTGTCAGCCGTGTAGTTCAAATCTACTATGGATTAAGAGGTGCCTCCTAAAACTTCAGGATGCACCAAAGTATTTGTCTGCCCACCCCGTCCCGTCCGTGACATCGCCCCACCAACTGGTGAGCGTTTGCAAGACATCACGCTATCAGGACTTCCAGCAAGAATAGCTGTTTTTGAAAAACAGCACGCTGGTGTTCGGCATCATTGTTAAGGTTCATGCTGAAGCTGCGCAGACTAACCACATCTGCAGCGGACAATAAACGCTAAGCTCCAAGCCACAGCTGACGCCTCTGCGATACAAGGGAGACGACAGCCCACCGGGCACCTGTACGGGGAAGTTTCCGCCACGCTTCATGGAACATCCAAGGCCACATACTTGGAACGTTGCCGGCGACAGTGACGTCACACCCACCGGATATGACGTCAGACATCCTGGAGTGACAACTGTGTGAACGGTGGGGTATTTGGGTGTAGAGAGTCGCTGGTCTCTCTCTCTCTCTCTCTCTCTCTCTCTCTCTCTCTCTCTCTCTCTCTCTCTCTCTCTCTCTCTCTCTCTCTCTCTCTCTCTCTCTCTCTCTCTACTCTCTCTCTCTCTCTCTCTCTCTCTCTCTCTCTCTCTCTCACACACACACACACACAAACGTAGGAACTGGAGAGATTGCTTCCCTCTTCAGGACTTCAAAAACACTGTTTGGTCAAAGTTCTTACCATCCTCCAGAACAAACTGCACCTGTTTTTTTCAAATATACCGAAAAATTGTTTTGGATTTCTTGTGAAACAAATAATTGGTACGAAACCTCGTTTTGAGGATCAGCGGTCCACATCTCCTGCGACACAGTGACTGCTCAAAAGCGAAGAGTATATCCGACTATCTTATAGCAGACTGTCTTTTGAACAGATAGGAGCTATCTGGAAACCTGCACTCTGAAAGACCACCACAACAGCCACCAGTAAATTCCGAGACGTTTCCTTCCACTTCCCGTGACAAAAAGCATGCGTCACGTTCGCGACGCGGTGGTGGCGTGTCACGCTCGAGCGTGCGACAGTCGGACCGAACATCAACCCAATTCTGGGCGGAATACGGAAGTTACAAGTACAGATTGAGAAGCCTGGATGCGCCTGAATGTGCTAAAAAAAAAACAATGAAACTTGTGATAAATAAATTGGGGTCGATCACAATATGCAACCAGGTTTTCGGGCTCAGAATAAATGAATCCACTCCAACAATATACCAAATTTTTTTTCCGATCGCGTAATGACTTGCTCATGGTTGTTCCATGGAGGGGATCATCCCTGGATCCAGACAGCAACGAACAGCGTCCGACCGAACTGCGTTTTTATCACACACACCCGAGTAACGATAAGACGCTTTTCTTCTGCCGCAAAAGTCGGAAAATCCCGCCCATGCATGGGAACTTCCTCTACCTTCAGACGCAAAAACACCGGTGATCCTTCCGTTTCGTTGATTACACTACGATAATGTCAGCTCTATCTGCAGCGAAACCTAGCAGGCACAGTGGGCATATCAGCAAACAGGTATGGACACGCATCTGTAACTGAGTAAACAAGCGTTATCACTCCTTAGCAGGGACCAGGCGAGTAACCGGTGGTATTATCAGTGGCGCGCAAGCGAGAGGCAGACACCTCGACACGCCACCAGCGCCGCCGCCGCGGTCGTGGGCCTCACCTTGCTGCACCACCCCCGACTCCATGGCCGGGCCGTGCTGCGACACGTCCTTGATGAAGATGCCGTCCCTCATGTTGCCGCAGATGTTGAAGCCCAGTCCGGTGAAGTCGTGGCCACGCAATGGGACGGTGATGGTCTCCGGCTGCTGATGGGCGGTGCAGCAGTGGCCTTATTATTGGAGGTGCAGCCTATTTCGCAAGCCTTGCCACGCCGGTAGACAATCAAAACGTGCAACAGCTTTGTTGCGTGCAACAGATTTGCAATGCATTTATGATATCTTCACATGCATGCACGTATGTAGGATAGATTCGTTATATACTCTCGCCAAGATGTTAGCAACAACTGCATTCAACAGCACGGGTCGCCGCCGCAGCAGATGAGCTTTTGAACCGGAGCTCTGTCACCGGGCGCAGACGGGCGCGCGGCAGCCAGCGGGACCCCTGCCCTCCCCAGCTGTGCGTCATTCGGCGGCGCGCGACGATCGCCGCCAGCCCGGTGCCGGCGGACGGCCTTGAGCGGTGACTGACGGCCGCCCCAGGGCCGACCCACGGCGGCGGCGGCGGCGGCGGCGCCGGCGCCTGTGGAAGCCGCCTGCTACACCGGCGCTGAATCTTTGGGGGAAGGGTGCGGAGGCCAGTAAGCGTCCTGATCACAGCACTGGGAAATAATGCGTAAGTTGCCAATTTGCTCATTAATAAACGTAACATCTTTCAAGCAAAACTCTAGCTGACTAGAAAAAAGAGCCTCGTTATCCCAAAACGGGCATCTTGATGCAGAACTGCGACCAATTTATAAATCAAATGGCCCCCCGGCTCAAGAAAAGTGGTCTCCTGATACATAGAGGATGTCTCCTAATCTTCCATAGGGGCCTCCTTATTAATACCGGAAGAACTTCAAGCCAGCAAAGAGCCTCTTTAACACAAAAATTTGGCCCCCAAGAGAATGAGCTACTAAATTCATAAATTTGATGTCATTATCCAGAAAACGGGTTTGTTGATGCATAAAAGGATCTTCTGAGTCCAATTTAGTGTCCATTAGCTCAGCTATGCGACGCTTCTTGGTCTAAATTTGGTAATCTACGTGAGCTACAGAGCATTTAGTTTGGACAAAAATGACATTCCATAAAATTGTAGCGCAAAACATATTCTTGCTCGATTAGCCTGCCGGCAACTGTACCCCAACCCATGCTACACCGCCCTGGTCAGTGTAAACAATAATGATTATGGTTTGTTTTGTGCGTTTTAATTGTTTGCTTGTTTGTTTGTCTTTTGTCTGCTTTTGCAGCGGATATTTTCTGTGGTGCATGACCATACATGCGGAAACAGCAGCATCACATTATCATCGACTTGTCGGCGCTGGCTGGCTGGCCATCTTTCTTGAATTAGACATGATTTGGCATGATGGCAACATCGTAATGCCCCTGAGGCCCTCATATTGCCCGTGGAGGAAGCTTCCTCCCGATTAGGCTATATGGTATCAGGTGTGTGCAGGTCTAGGTATGACACACCTGTTGCATGGACTGTTGTTTTTGTATCTCATATACGTAATGGAGATGTAAAAATGTCCTTTCCAACCATTGCCATGTGGCTCGGCAATGCTGCATTCCGAGCGATGATCCGTGTGATGAAGCGATAGAGCTATGTCATGCACTGCCTTGAATTGACCTTGTTTTGCTGGCAGACGTGACACTACATATATTTGAGCAAGTTATATGGCCCCGGAATTGGCCGGCCTGATTGCCTCGATGTCAAAGGACCGCTAGGTGTTTGGGAGCATGAGCACCCACACAGACACCGAGTGAATTCCTAGTTTATTCTCCCACCCTTCTGCTGGTTCACCCGATTGTCATTTGCTGCTGACTTTCGTGGAGGTTAATAACCTTTAACACGCGCCCGGATGGCCGTCTAGATGCCCTTCGCTCGGGTGGGGGTCAGTTTGACCCCCCTGAAATATCGGGAACTAAGAAGGCTGGAGACACTAAATTTACCGGGTGTGTTGATCTGTACATGAACTCACTTAGGTCAAAGTTTCAGGTCCCTAGGTTGTGAACCTCGGGTCAAATATGGCCAAACAAGGTCAAACTCCAGGTTGGTCTCTTAAGTGCCCCAGAACCTAGATAACTGTTTCTAAGCAGAAGGTCGCATGTTCTTCTAAGGTCAGTGACCTTGTTTGACCTTTTGAAGGGCATAGTTACCAAAATAATGGCAGACTGCTCTGAGTTTTGTATTTGAATAATCGACAAAGATCACGCTAGGCAGTATGTTCCTAAAAACAACAATTGACCTGGGTCATTTAGGTCAATGACCTATTCTGACCTCTAAAAAGTCCATGGAAGATGTGCCATGTGGTTCTTGCTATCAATAAGTTCGAAATGAGCACCAGAGGCTATCCCATACATCAAGCCCAAGAGTAATAAAACAGGTTGGTTATGACCTTGGTCTGACCTTCATACCTGACCTTAGATCAGCGTAATTTGCTCATTCAATATTTGTATTTCCTAAGAAAGCATCTCAGAGATGTATGACTTCATCCAACACTCCGTTGCTGCATCAGATTGAACAATTCCCTAGAAATGGCTTCGCTGAGACCATAGCCTGACTTTGACTTGCTACAGGTCAGCGACCTTACAAGGTACATCTAAATTTTTTACGTCAAACGATCTGCTATTCAGTTGTCTACAGCTATGCAAAATTTGGCGCGGATACGCCGCGCTGTTCGCAAACCATTTGGAAAAAAACCTTCGGGGCAATTTGACCCCCACCCAAGCGCGTGTTAAGCAGACGGATTCTACAGCCGTATGGTATTTGAAGGCTTATCCTGCAGGTGACTGCCTGTGTTTCCTTGTGCACCGCATTGTGGCCGGACCGATGGTCTTTGCAAATGACTCGTCGCAGTCACCCGACCTTGTCACGCGACTGTGTGACGGGGCTATGCACTCATTGCGGCACTGCAGTCTCCCACAGCGTTGGTGACACGGATGCGCCGCCTGGTGTCGACCAGTCCAACAGACAAGCATAAATACCCGTCTTCCAACGCGAGTGATAGTTTTTTTTTTTGCATGGTTTGGCGATATTTTGTACTCAAGTGGGATTTTTGAGAGAAGGACGTACACCAGCCATACAGTGATTTTGAAAATGTCTATACCCTACTAGTTTATATGAGCGACATGTTTGCGATCTAAGTTGCATGAATGTGAGTAGTTCAAGAGTCCTGTGATGGGTGCAGCTGAGTGAGGAAATTAATCTGTGTTTTCTTAAGTTATCTCATCCTTTGTTTGAAACTATTATTGAACTGATACGTAGTAAATTAAAAAAGATAGCATTTCAACCAGCTTGTTTGTATTTAACGGGAGCTTTCGAGATAGTTGCAATGCATTACTCACACTCGGTCAGGCAGCCAAGGGTGAAGAGGTCCGGGCAGCTAGCTGTCTGACCAAGGCTGAAGCGATTATTTAGAGCTGACACCATGACAGCGGTTGATAGAAAGGGCACCATAATACAGCGATTGTCCAGAAATTCCCGTTCAATACAAGCGAGCTGGTTGAAATATCATCTTTTTAAAATAAGCTATCCCTTTTGATTAAACAATTTTTCAGCCAAGCATCTCGTCCCAAAAAGGATACGGAATACAAAGGACACCATAACGACGACTTGCTCCAGATCCCTGATCCTTGGCTCGTTCTTTTTCATCGAGACATGGACCATTAAGAAGAGTAAGTGCACTAAAATGTGTCGCGGTCCCTATGAGTCGTTACTATGGCTGTTTCGGTAGGTTGTCTGGTAGTGATCAATGTGTGGCATTACATCATCAACATATGGAGATGCGAATAGGTGTGACAGGCACGTTTAGTTTGGCGGACATGGACCACAGGACCCGTACTTGTCATGCACCTACAACGGCCAACTGGCAAATGATTAAGTGAGCCAGGCTGAAACGGGCGGCTGGGTCTCAGCATACCATTGCATGAAAAGATATCGCAGCGAGCAATTCATATTTTAACCCCCATTTCATCACGCTGAGCGGTGGGGCCGGGGTTTTTGCAGCAAGCTAAGCTTAGGAAACACCCTGGTTACAAAACCATCGCAGCAAAACATTATGTATAATGGGAGTTGGTGTGTCTGTCAACGCAAAAACATTTATTCATTAAGGAAATTACGCAGAATTCCAGGACTGGGGAAAATATGTCATTAATTTTGATAGGGCACTATTATCTGTGATTGAGAGAGCGCGGCGACAACTGTTGCGGGGGTTTGTGGGTGTTACTACTCACAGCCAGCGACGAGTCGTCGGCGGCGCGTGTCCGCGGTTGTTTCGATGCGGTAGAGAACACGCTGAAGCCGCCTTTCTTTGCTGCCTTCGAGTCACCGCTGCGAGAGGCATCTGTCTGCAGGTGGTCATAGAAGGTGTTGACTGTTCAGTTTGTTTGTTGACATATTCAAATGAGCCATAACGTACCCACAGCGCGTTTAGCACATCTAGAAGTTTGCCGACGATAACTGTTTAGGTTTATATAAGTACGTGCCTAAACATAGTTTGTATTTTACTGCGATTGATCATCACAATTCACCTGGTACATTTAGCTCACTTGGGTCATTATTAAACCAGAAAGAACGTGCCTGAAATATTATTTCCCTGCATTGTAAAATCACTTGGTATTTTACGCAAACATCAAAACAAGGGTAACATAAAAATAGCATTTAAACTTGCTTTATCGTCGCTACTATTTTGCGGGAGTTTATAGTGTGGAATTATGCCGAACCATGCCAAACCGTAAAGCTCGTACCGGTTCTCTGCTGGCTGATGCTGGCTTGATGCCATTACAAAAGGCTAAAATAAGCCACTGATTAGCTATGTCCATATGATTCGTGGCAGCTCGTTATCAGAATCAAATACAATACGATGGGAAACAGTGCTATGATACGATGTGTGAAATCGATTGCATTTCATAAATATGTTTCGGCTGGTGCATTTGACTTATTATTTGCTCATGACAGGAAACGATCCGAAGCTGAAACGAACTGTTTTCCTTGACAGCATTTTCCTTTGGAATGTTGGACTCTCACCGAGATGTTTTAAATCATGTAATGTGGCATAGATATATGACATCAAACCCCAACAGAGATAGACATTGAACGTCTGGAGGGTTCCAACCTTTTCGCATGGCGCCAGAACATCATGGCACGGAAGGGTACCTGAAAGGCAACACATCACGTTAATGGTCGTTTTTCAAAGTAGGCGAACAGCCGTGGCTGCAGAACTCATTATTGGACGAGGCGTCCTACCGCACGATGCCATCAAAACACTATCTGAATTGTGTATACAACTGAGCACATTTGCAGCAGACGTAGCCACTTAGGTGGACGCAAGTTGTTAAAAGTGATGACACTGAAGGTACGTATTCGTATGGCAATGTCATGAATTCCACCGCACGGCGTTTCCAGGCGATAGAGCTGCAGGTTTTATTTCTGAAAAACTGAACGGACGGGTCAAGTTTGAAGCATTGCGGTCAGCATAGGTACCTGTCTCTGTCAAGTTCGCCCCTTATTACGGCCCGCGCGACCTTCTCCTGTGCCAGGGTGGACTATTTGCAGTTCAAGGTTTGGAGTGCTATCTAATAGGAAAAAAGTTATGACCCACGTCAAGTATGTAAAAATCGCAATGTGAACGGGCATAGGGCTCAAGCTTATCCCGTCCTACGTGCTGTAAACAGACACCCAATGCTGTGCACGGCGTATGCCCTGCATCGGAGGGCAGCTCTCTGTTCTGTTACAGGCTGGAAAGTCGCCAAACCGGTTAGGGCACTCAAGGCAGTAGCGTATAACAAGGCTGGTCATGAAAAATTCGCCCTACGAAGTGATTCACATGGGAGCTGTCCAAACTGCATGCTAGCCTAATCATCACAATAGTTAACAATTCCGAAGTGCATGTTCATCATGTGCCATGAATTGTTGGTTAGAGCTTTATGCCACCAGATGGCAAATGTGGGCTAAATACGGGAGAAACGTACAACGATCGTAAGGCAACTCCTTCGACACAACGTCTGCAGGCACTAAGTTACCTTATGAAACTGGAAGTGATGAAAACCCCAGAGCAACACAGTACGTTAATGGCAACACCCACACCTGCTGAAAGTTTCATACCTGCGGCCCATTTACTTCCTTAAAATAAATGCTTTGTCGAGATTAATTGTTTGCCAAATGCCAAACTTTGTATGAGACAGACACAGCCAAAGACATGTACTGACCGTAACTATCTATATCTCCACTCTCCTGTTTTTTTTTTTTACGAGGAATACGGCTATTACTGCTGCCTTATCTACGTGCATAATGTCCCTCGCAAATGCACATAACAACTTACTAAATGTCATGTTTATAGCGCCTTGAAACCAACTGAAATGCACAGAATATCATATCAAGATTCTAGCCAAATTGTTCAGAGATAAACCGATACATATCGGGAAAGGACTGAGGGATATCCCGTCTTGAACTACCATTGTTACCAGAAGCAGCCTTGCATAGCATAAGCAACAGCCAAAGACACAAAGCCAAGCCCAGTGGAGAGGTTGATATGATCGACTTTCAATTTTCTCCAAGCGGGAAATCGTCTTTTTTCGCTTGTCGGAATGTCATTACACCACCAGCCATGGCCATTCCAGCGCTGCAACGTTCAGGACCGTACTGGCGTGGCTCTGAAGGCCCTCTGCGCATCGGCGCCACCGAGTTGCTACGACTGACCGCACTTGTACTGACCGTGCCTCTGGCCGAGTATTCCACAGGCCACGCCATGCCATGTCTGGAATTAGAATGGTACGGCCGGACCTGTCTGTGGCGGGGTCAGAATAGCGCACCACAGAGAGTTACTCTCATAACTGGTGGCGGAAAGCGCGGCCCCTATTCACGCCTGCAGCATTAAGCTTAAGCAATAAAGCATGACAAACGGTCATGTCCTAATGTATGACGCACGCAACAATAACTATTCACCGGAGAGCAAGGGAGGTGGGGGAGGGCAGTGTTTCTCTCATTGATCTACCCGGTGCAGTTGGTTGGGGCGCGAGACGCGGACCCGGCAGGTCCGGGGCTCAGAGGAGCCGAAAGGAGGTCGTAGTGGCGCGAGCTGGCAGCTGCCGTGCCTGGGCTGCATCGCAAATCCTGCTGTGGTCGGCACGCAACATACTTGCAAGATGTTGCGATGTGCAGAATAGAGCACTCACCTCGAAGTAAGCACAGTGCTTGATCCCACAGCACTCGTACAGTACGGGGAGCAGAGGTTATCCCAGTGATTTTGATTACCCCATGATTCCGCGCCTTTATAAAGTTGGGATATGGATGTTGCAGGAGCCTGCTGGAGCCGGGGTTTTATTAAACTCCTTGAGCTTTACGGACTCGCTGAATGAGATTGTTTCAAAGGCATTATGGTTCCCAACTGCTTAGAGAGATCTAGTGAATTTCCCAGAGGGTTTGCGAAATACTAGTTTCTACATCTTTAAGTTTGCTACTGTAACGGCAGATTCTCCTTTATCCTCGAGTCACCCGATGCTTTCCTCATGCAGCCTTGACTCCCCTGAACTGCCCGGCAGTCATCCCCCGGTTATGGATGAGCAGCCTCGTTCGGACTTCCCTGAACTGCCCGGCAGTCTCCCCCGGTTATGGGTGAGACGCCGCGTTCGGACTCCGGTCAAGGACAAGCAGCCCCCCCCCCCCCAATCCCCACCCACGCAGCACGTCACGCTACCCCCATATGGTACAGCCGATTGCAGAGGGTGCGCCGCCAGACGCCAATGGAGTGCTTTGCCCCTTCGGCAGCCAGTACGGACGTGCTCGAAGCCAACCCCTTTGTACCAGGCTTAGGAGGAGAATGTCGTTGACTTCGTTAACGCTGACTTTTGTTCTTAAACAACTGCCAGCTATGTCCTAGTCAATTTACGCTTCCGTCAACGTTTCCTTGAATTCAAATAAAGTTAAGATGTTGCTGTCGAAAAATGCTGGTTTTAGTATTTTGTTGAAACAGCCCTTCACAGCATTCTGTGTTCGTCATTCATGAACCCATGGCTTTAAAGAGGCCCACACGACACGAGTAAAAGGACTTGGCCCGAAAACCAAACCGCACCTTTGTGGTAGCAATACTCGTTCGTACAGTAGATCTTTATTACTTGGCCCTCGATATAAGACAGCAAGGGTTTAGTTAGAAGACCTGACATAAGGAGACCACGTGTTTACGTGTCTGGTCCCCGTCTGGGGATCGCGGCCATCTGATGCTACATGAGATGAACGCAAATGTGAGCAGCGGGCGCATCAGGGCACCACAAATGCTAGGCGAGCATGGACGGGTTCAGCTTCGAGAACCACAGCACTCAGCCCATGGACCGCAGTGTGATCATTGAAATATGCGCGACAGTGAACTACTCCACCGCGAACAGGCGGCTTCAGCGTAGCAAAAACTCTTACTGGAAGCATATGCTGGACTGCTGGAGCGCGAATTAGTTATGCTTTAGCTGATATGTATTTTGTTAAAGGTCAGGAGTTTTTTGGAGTCTCTAAAGAGTTTGCAATTCCCGAATTGGTGATATTTTGCAACATGCACATGTTTTCTAAACTGTGAGATCACTGCCTACGCTGGGCACTTACTTTTCCGTCCAATGTCATCTTCTGCTTCCAAGTACGGATTGTCAAATGCGAACCTGCCCTCGTCAACTCCGCGTTCTGCTAACACCACCTTCTCCAGTGGCGGGCCTGCAAACAGGAGACAGCGGTTACCACACGGCAGTGTTACAGAGACCATGCCACATCCCGCTGCAGCGTCGTGCCGGTCTGGGGCACAAGCATGGCATCGAAAGTTCGAGACCATTCACAGCAGTCTGAAGCCAGGACGGAACGGCTGCCAGGAATGCCATTCCTGCAGAGAGAACACGGATCGGATGGATCGCACGACTTGCTGGACATGTCAGTCGTCTTCTGAATGCGTCGGCCACAGGCTCGATGTGTCCATCTCCCGACAGGAGCAAACGCATCTCCCCTGTGTGTGCATCGTGCATACATCAGAGCGCATACATTAGCTCGCACTCCTCGCCGATCACGTGGGTGTGGAAAGCGGTCAAATGCGGGCAGTTCGTGTCAGTAGCGCGGGCTGTGGGCTCCAGCAAAAACACTGCTCAGTTGTTTGATGTCCTGCTTAGGCATGCCAGCTAGATTCAGTGCGGCTGTGACTGCGTTAACAAGATTCCCAATGCTATCCGCCCCGTCGCATGGGCGCCTGCCTGTCTCGGTTGAGGGCAGGCCGACCCGCTGAGGTCACGCCGAGGTCACGGTGCCGACCGCCGAAGGTATGCACCGTGCACTAGACCGGCCGTTTGTGCACTGTGCGCCGTGCAGGCGATGCGGGGGCCATGGCCGCGCACGAGCCGCCAGCGCCCTCCTCTCCTCGCAGGAACGCGGCCGCAGAGCCCCGTCGCGCTCGGCCGCCGGAGCGTGCTCAGCAAGGCCGTGACGTCACAGCGTGCCGACCGTGACGTCACGGCGCGGGGTCCGGTGGGGCAGGGGGAGGGACTGTGCCGCCTCGTTCCTGTCCCGAGTGGTCAGCCGGCCGCGAGGCCACGGAGTTTTGTGGCGGATCGGGACTGCCGACATGGCGACGAGGTGAAACCGGCCAGTGAGGGACTGCGGCGCAGCATACTAGGGCGGCCTATCGCACTGATACGCGATCTCCGAGGAATATTCAGTAATCCGTTTTGGCCAGATTAGCGAGGGGTTCACCTGTTTTTGTTATCGCAAAATCCCTCAGCTGTCGATGTTCACGGTGGGGTGATATGCTCCGGGTAACTATGTTCACGGTGGGGTGATATGCTCCGGGTAGCTATGTTCACGGTGGGGTGGTATGCTCCGGGTAATTGTGTTCACGGTGGGGCGGTATGCTCCGGGTAATTGTGTTCACGAGGGGGCGGTATGCTCCGGGTAATTTTGTTCACGGTGGGGCGGTACGCTCCGGGTAATTATGTTCACGGTGGGGCGGTATGCTCCGGGTAATGATATTCACGGTGTGGCGGTATGCTCCGGGTAATTATGTTCACGGTGGGGCGGTATGCTCCCGGTAATGATGTTCACGGTGTGGCGGTATGCTCCGGGTAATGATGTTCACAGTGGGGCGGTATGCTCCGGGTAGCTATGTTCACGGTAGGGCGGTATGGTCCGGGTAATTATGTCCCCAGTCACGATGGCCGTCAGATTAACAAGGCATGAGCTGTTCAGCAAGTATTGTGTCATGAGCTTTCTCGCGGGATTTGCTCATAAAGCCGGTATAGCCGTCCATGCCGCACCTACATTCTAACCTGACGGCATTGTAAATTGTCATCATTAGGTCCTATAGGCAAACAATAGTTTTGAAATCCTGGTGATTACATCATCACTTAAAAATCTCTCCGCTTACAATCGGTGGTACCGTTGCTGCTTTCTCCGCATATCGAATGGCGGTACATGTCTTAGAAACTAAGACACCGCTGGGGATGGCACTTATGTGGTTTGCTCACCGCCAAGCCGCGGCAGTAAACCATCGCAAATGAAATCAAGAAGACTGGCCATTTGTACTGGTGCTTTCCTCTTGCAAGAGGAAAGCATGGAACATAAGGCATTCTGCTTAGGGCAGCACATGAGCACTACATGTCCATCATATCGCAGGGTCTGTTAACAAATGACCAAATCAACATCTAATCTTCGCGAGAGTGCGGTATTCAGCTGTCGTACGATGCGTCCTCAGATTTCGAGGGATACGAACTACGCCCTGTGCAGAAAGTGGTCAGTAGTAAGTGGATATAGCCCATTAGCCTCGCTTTCTGCACTGGAAATTTAGCGTGGTGCGTGTAACTCGCTAACCACAGCCCTGGGCAAGTCGTTTACCTGCGACAAGCTAATCGTAGGAAAGTGACCTCGGACGGGACACTGTTTCACTAGGATGTTTCACAAATCATGGGATTGTTCAGGCAAATCCCAGCGGGATAAAGCTAACGGGATTAAGAGCAAACATGGAACGGAGCTCCCTCTCTCGCTGTTCCTATCTTTCTCTCCGCCTCTCAATATATGCTTTCTCATACTCCCTCTTTCCTCCTTTCTTTTTTCCTTACTTCTCTAATTCTAGTTACCCCTCTAATTCTCTGCCCTACCCTGATTCACTTTCTTTTCGTCTTTTCATGTCATGTGTCACACTCAACGACGTCACATCTTTTCCACCTGCCAGCCAGAAGTAAACCAGGTCACCGATAAGGTGTAGCACCTACAGCCTGCCAAGGCACTTCGTAACCACCAGCGGATCGCAGTGAGCCCCGTTAACAACACCTTGCGCGGGCGTAAAGACAGCTGGCGACTGCAGTACCTGATACCCACTGCTCGGTTTAACCTCTCGTTTGGAGATGGACAGTCGTGCCGCTGAGCGGATTCTGTGAATCAAAGTTTGATCTATGCGTCGCAACCTGCGGGAAATGTATGCTGCTTGCGATTTTACCGGTCATGACAACGGAGCGACCGTCGGAGTCGCCATTTGGCACGGAGGCTTTCAGGTTATCAAAAACATTTTCAGTGGGCAGCCAGCCAGAGACTCACAGTCTTATTACTGAAGGTGAGCCGACTTAATAGAGCCGAAAAATATTGAATGGTGTTAGGGATGTTAACACCGGCTCTTCTGTTAATCCGGGGATTCCGAGATTGTAAGATCTGAAATAGCAGGATCCCGTGATGTTTCCAGACAAGAATAAGGCTACGCATTCAATTATTTACCACAGGTGCTCACCTGTACTAAAACTGCACTCTTTGGCAATGCACTTAGTGCCAATCAGTGGAGACAAAGCACCTATTTCGACATGGCTTATTATTCGTACGACATGACGCTACCAAACGCAGTAAACAATTTAAGTATTCATGAAGGCAATACTCGAAACGGGAATTGATTGTGCACGAAGTCGTGTGCGCACCATCTTATTCGTGGTGCACCCCAGTCATGATGCTACCTATTCAAATTTAACAGTGTTCAAAGCTTGGCATTCACCATGAGGACTTCGTGATCCTTACATCTGTGTTGTCAAGTATTTATGCGTGATATTTGTGCTATTCGGGTTTTAGACGTGCAGAGCAGTCACTGCAGATTTATGTTCCCAACTTGATCGTTCGTCACCGGGGTCGTGTCCTATCGTCACCAGGTTGGGAAGGTATACAGTGATAACACTTCTACCCAAAACAATCCAGCAGAAATGTCACACAGTCTATGCATAAGTATCCCGGAACATGCTGAGATTATAATATACTTCTTTTTCGTGTGTTGTCACTTTCGGTTCATGTGCTGAGGAAAGGTTTGGCAATACAACAGTAGTAAATGAGGCAAGTATGGTAACATTTGAGCCCTTGTGCTTCTGTTTTTGTTTTACGATACTTTCAGACGCAACGAGTGTTTGCTAAGCACCCAAAGATGTTTGTCACGTAGGAAATGCGTCACATTATTAAGACTAATTGCGAGCAAAAAGCCTAGCGAAGAGCTCGTCTTGCCTATCTGAGGCAATGCAGGATGGCTAGGTCACTGACAGTCTCCAGATTGGACGTTCAGCGACGCCTGAAGTTCAAGGAGGGAAGGCATGTAAGTGGCTCACAATTTCACTGATGTCTGACGCCGTGCGACAGAAGCGGAAGTTCTGAGCTGGGGTACTATACTAAAATATGAGTGGAAAAAGGTAAGCTCTTCGCTACAGAAAGGATTTCACGCGTAAAGCGTCGCGGGACTCTCAGAACTGCCTCTACGTGTGTCCACGGCAACAGCAAGAAGAGCGAGGTGCCGGCCAGCCAAACATACCACTAAAGTTAAAATTTTCGGAGAAGGCGATGGCTTGCGCAAGTGTCTTTCGGAACCGAAAACCGATTGCTTGCATCGAAAACGCGAAAGTTTACTCGGCTGCATGCATTCGCCTCCTGGAAGAGCAGCTGCTGCCGGCCTGCGAGGAGCTGCATCCAGTCGTCTTCGATTTCTAGCAGGGAGGTGCCTCTCCCACAAAAGACGGGGGACCATTCAGGAGTTTGTGGTATCTCGGTGTTTAAGGGCGCGTCGGCATCGAGGTCGGTTTGCGCCCACCACTCAGGCATTCCTCGCTGAACTCTGGCGCCCCATCAACGGGGAACGAGTGGCCACCAAACGCCCTGACCTGAGTCTCCTGGGAGTCTGCATCTGCAATGCACTGTCAGGGAAAGTGAGCCGGCCTCGTTGCCAGAAATTGTCCAGTATGGACCGGAGCTCGTCTGTTTGGAGCTGAAGGAGGCCATCATGACAGCATGAAAGGAGGTGACAATAGACACCGTAAGGAGCAGCATCCGCTAGTGGAGACAGAGGAAGAATGCAATGATGAAAGCTGACGGTGTCCTTGTCGCTCATGTTTCCCAAAAACTGGAACCAACTATCCCTAATCATATATATATTTCTGAGCTGGCAACGCAAAGCAAAACCGACTGATAACGCTACAGCTCAGCACAAATGCGCTCCCTTTTCATGCCCCTTCAATATGCAGAGCATATATATGTGTATATATATATATATATACATATACGTGTCTTTCAACTTATCGCATCTATAAACCGCACAGCACGATAATTAGATATTGCGTTTTTAGACATTGGCAACTGTTGATGGTATAATATATTGAACGTCCATGTCTAGTATTCGTCACAAGTCCAGAAATTGCTATCTTAAAACTAGCATTTGCATCTTA